GTGATACTATCAGATAAGACGGTCAGTCATGGCAATCGTGCTTAACGTGGAAACTTTTTGAAAATTTCAAAACGAATTGTCAATGCTGGCAAGCCATGGCAAGCCAAACTGATTGTACGATAGAGAGAATTAAATTTGTCTTGTTTGAGGTCGATCTTGATCACCACGTTTTGGAAGCACAATTAGATGCGATTAAATACGACCCGAAACTATGATCCGGATTGCCAATAACAATATTTTTTTTTAAACAATATTTTATTCATATAAATATGAAAAGGATTGGGGAACAGGCACAAATGAATCTTAAAATAAATTAGTTCTGCAGTATATATATGGTAAATTGCTAATATTTCTAAGATTATAATTGATGTTTCTGGCGGGGAGAAGATCTGATAGGTAATTTGGAGTCAGATTGTTCAGGATCTTATACATCATTGTCGTCTTTCCTACAGTGTAATGAAACATGTTTCCTTGTAAAGTAAAGCATGGCTAGTTGACAAAAATTGATCATGTTGATAGTAGAAAATTAGTTGACCGATCTAAAAGCTTTTACTGTTGACACGACTAACCTCAAGATATGACAGGACACCGCGATTGAGATCACGATTTTAATAGTTGAAACCTAGCATAAGGAACATAAAGATCGGTATTTATATTTAATCTATGTCATTGTAACTACTCGAATCTTTCCTTTTACATAATTAGGCCTTGTTAGATTTCATTGATTTTACATTTAAATATAAACTCTTAGTTGTTTTTATTTCAAACTTCAAGCAAACGTCCATTATTCGAATGTTTTGTATTTGAATAGTAGGGATAATAGGGTCTAGAACTAAAGTAATGGTTGTTTAAGAGACAATGTATTTCTAAACTTCTAAAAGATTTATTATTCGATGTACCAGATTGTGAGATTTATGTTTTTATATTCCAAATGAATTCCAATTTCAGTGTCAAATTAAAAATTTTCTCTATAAATGCAAATTATTTTGTACCATAAAGATTGTTTATTCTGATAACAAAACATGTCGATTGGAAATGGGAAGTCATATTCTATAATACTTCAGGAATGTGCCACAGATTTATTCTTTTGTCTCGTACTTCGTTGTTTCGTTACTCTGAGCAACCATAACGATTCAAACCAATATACCACTGCCGACAGATAGTCTTTCTTACATTACATTTTGATCAGGTTCATGGACTCTATATGCATGTATGATTCCTTCCAACACATTAAAATAGAAAGGATGTTGTAGTAATGATAGATAATAATTGAAACTTTCTGCATCTTATTGCATAACATTTTGGTAATTCTGAATTATTATTCCAGTTTGAAAAGATGAAAGATCTTATTTATTCAATATGTAGAGAAAATGATGTAGCTCAGTCGTTAATTATGGTAAATCTTTGAATTAGCAGACAAATCTAATGTCTTATCTGATCGCAATATTTTATCATAAATGCAGTAAATTACTATGTTTAAAACTGCACAAATTCAAATGTGAACACAAGAGACATATAGTCGCCAGGAAGATCTATTAAATTTCATTTTTTAAACAATTGTCTGCACCTAGATATTTCAGTATTCTTTTACCTTCAAACTCTTGAATCAGCATGAACGGTGGGTTTTCATTTTGACTACAGAAAGAGTTGTGTACAAGCTTATTACTTTATTTAAAGGGACATTCCGCTTTCTTATAGGTCGACACAATTTTTTTTGCTCAAACTTGTGAAAACTGTACAACAAAATCAAGATAAATGTGACCTTTAACGTATCTGAAAGTTTTAACTTTAAAAGAAACACCAGTTAATTTTTAAACACCAAAACTATTTAAAAACATTACGTAAGGTTTCGTTAGGATATTTTTTTAGATAAATAGTGAATTAGAGTAAAATATCGCTTAATTGTTAAGAAACTTGTCTCCGTATTCGAAAGGCTTCAACGAATAATATCAAGCCATTATAAGCCAAACACCAAAACGAGGTCAAACTGTTATTAACATGTATTAGGCCTACTCTTTTTTAATTAACCATTTTAAAACAAATTCAGTTTTATCAAGAAGATACATCGATATAAATAGCATACTTTAGATATATCTTCAGTTATAATGAGCGTTTTGATAATGGAAACTTTTTACACACCCTTTTTTGACCCTTTAAGTCTAATTTAAAAGTATAGTATTCCTGAATTAAGAAATATTCATACTGCACATGATATCGTATGACAATTTTTTTACAGTAGTGGTTAGTTCCCATAGTATGCTCACAGTTCTGGAACATCTGAGAGTCCTACAGAAAAAAAATTGGACATTAATTGTATATGTTAACTTAAATTATTAAAACGTTGCTGGAATTAAAACTTGTAGTGCTATGTAATTTCGAAAATTTAGCATTACCAGCATTTGTAAGATATGATTAAGAAGATGTGATGGAGCAATCCTGATAAGTATTAAGAAGTTCTATGGGTTATTTTGAAACCCATGACACATGTCTGAGAGATAAGGAAGTAATGGACTCTGTATGATTATTCCTGGAAGCAATTTTGTAGTTATTGATGGTATACAGCGATCACCAATATCTACACAATTTGAAATATTAAACTCTATATTTGATCTAATGTACTGTGACCCAATTCTATAAATATCTAGTTTTTCACTTGCTACTTTCATTGAATGTTATATTTATGACACCAATCAATTATTGATTACATTTTACCAGAGGAGAAACTTGGATTTAGAATCGTCACAATTAATCAACTTTCTACGATCTTGTAACCCAGTAAATTTTTTATATTCGTCTATCAGTCTCCACATTGACTCACAATTCTTTATATTTAAATCATATCTACTAATTCAGTCAATTTAATTCAATTACTGTTGATATATCACGATTCGATTCCAATTTCTCTCATATATTGACTTATAATTTCCATCAAATGACTCTTTAAGTCTACTCGCTTTATTTTATATCTATTTGTGAATTAACTTACTATTTTCATGCGTTTCTGTAGATTTAGGTCGAGTGTGCTCCTTGAATTTGACTATGCCCCTACTAAACTGAGATGGTTTTTTATCAAACTTTAATGATTTGTTTAATGAAGAGGAAATAGTTGTTGTCCCTGTCCGCTAATAAAAGTACTGCTCTAGTTCTTTTAAAACTGTGAAAGTTTACGAAAGAAGTCTTTGATACATTTTTATTTTCTTTTATGGAAAATGTTTTGGCTCCAATAGTTTTCATCCGAACTTCAAGGTGGTATACAGGTAATAGGGAGTTATTATGGAGTAATATTGGTGGACAAAGTAACAAGACTGGATACCATGATAATGTTGTGTCTCAAAGATTCAAAAAATCGCAACATTGAAACAGGCATATTTAAAACTTATTTTGTCCTTATACAGGAGAAAGTTAAAATAAAATATAGACCGAAACTGTGTTTAAAACGTTGCTTATTTGATAGAAAGAGAAACGATAGATATATGACTTTCGGGTAATTATCGCTCAGAAAAGAAATTATCAATCTTACATTTGTTAAAAAAGTGCAATTCAGAGAAAAGTGAAGACAATTAATAATGTAGAGAATGTTCCTTACTTGACCCAAATAAAATGACAATTCAACGACTCTTGTATCGGCTTAAAAAGTCTTCGCATTTCAAAGTTTTAACAGAAAATTATTTGATGTAGTGTCAGATTTTTTTTTCATTTTTACATTTTTTCATTTATTTTGTTTTCGACAGAACAAAACCCTACTACTATAATTATTATTATGTTAGTATTTCTTTTTTTGCATTTGAACGATTGAGAGAATAATTGTAAACAAAAGAGAATGATTTTACAATAAACTGAAGCTATTGTTGCAGATTCTGCTGTTAATCCTATGATCCTCAACTCTTTAGTACAGAACATTAATTAGTTACCCTTAGAACGTTGGAACGAAAGCAAATATGTTTTAGACTCACGAATCTGTGTCATTAGATAGATTAATTAGTAGATCTCAATTTTTATTTCACTGTCGTATTCACGTAAGTAATTTGACTGGTGATAATAATATATAATATTATCTAGGAGTTAATTTCTAAAAAGTGTGGATATAAAATTATAAAGAAAGGAATAGGTCGAGATAAAAAGTATATTGCACTATAAACTTGGTGGTTAATATCCAGTGAGTGTGATATCAGATTAATTGGTATTGGCTATAATCGAGTTAATCAGAATTAGGTCATGTTACTGCCATCATTATTTCTGTATTATAAAATCGTATTTAGGTTACTTATAGAATTGGAATTTTCCCACATACTTTAGTTATTCTATTTGTATATCAGTATTTTGTTGTTTTAAGGAGGATTTATATTTCTGACGACGTCAACCGCCGCAATACGCTAGCAAACGTTACCCCGGTTAACAGCGCGTTAACATCATTGTCCAAGTGTAAACACACGAGCGTATATACTCGCATGCGCCGACCTATTTCCAAGATTCGATTGGCCGTGTTGTCTAATAGCGTCTTGTGATTTTTGAAACGCTGTAGTATGAAAATTCACGTCGTAAAAGTTCAACACAGTTGAACTCTGGAAAATGTTACACTGTGATACGGCGACTACTCGCTGACTATGAGAGTTGGCAAAAGCGTATGCTAGCGTGTTACGGCGGTTGATGGCGTCAGAAGTATAAATCCACCTTAACTTGAATTCGCCAGTTATGTTCTCCTCTTTCAACGAAATTATGTTAACGTTTTTTTTAAAGAAACATTTGTTTGTATTGTCCACCATCCACTGTATGATCTGAAATGTCATCAAATTGATGTGTTGGTAATTGTGTTAGGTATTTCAGAGTATCTGGACGCTCATGTCGTCTTGTATCAGAATATTGATGAGTTGTGATATCCCCCCGCCCTCCTAGGTGGATGTGGATAACAAATGTTGCTAATCTTCGATACGATCCATCTGAAAAAAATCTTTATTATTGTCTTGGTTTCAGGTATTACTAACAATACAGAAGAAGTGATATCGGCTGAGAAGTTATTAATTAAGAAATTATTAGAAAGATATAGTAAACAAGGAAGATTTGGACGACCAGTAGTGAACACCTCTGATAGCTTAACAGTTTATTTTGGTTTATCACTTATTCAGATTCTCGATGTTGATGAAACCAATCAAGTTCTTAAAAGCAATATATGGTATCATTATGTAAGTATATATGAAACATGTCTTCTATGCCATAGTTCTTTACAAGAATATCTTCAATTAAGTTGGTTGAATTTATCTTAAACGTTGTAAGACACTACATAGAGGTAGTTTATTTTCATATTAAACAGACTCGATTTAGAATATAAAATTGAGGTTAATAAGTCAAACATCATGATCTGAGAAAATCTAATGCAATGGAGATAATCTCATTGATGTTAAGTTTGATATTATATACAAATTAATACCTATATGCTTTTGTCTGCTTTCTATCAAAGCCAATAATTAAGTAACAGGGAGCCAACTAAATGAAATGAAAGTTCAACGTCTTACATTTCTGCTGCAGATTGAGTTAATGAAGACGGATATTAAAGTTCTAAAGTCTGCAATGAAGGGCACGAGCTTCCAAGTTTCAGAATTCAAAGTTTCGATAGATATTCCCTATGAAGTTTTATATTGTCTCAGCCGACCAGAATTTTTTTTCACGTCAGCCACTAGTAATAGCCAATAGTGCAATGATGCAAGAGTATTGAAAATGTAACATCAAGCCAATAAGGCTATTACTTTTGATTGATCTTAACTAAGGTATTTGAAAACAAGCATAAGACAAATTAACGATTTGATTCTTTGAGATGCTTATATTGGTAACAAAAGGGAATATTTACTTACTAACCTACCGTGGGGAGACACTGCCTGTCACACTGAGTGAAACCAGTCCCAATTGAATCAGAATTAATCAGATGTATTGATTTGCAACTACAACCGTCATAAATTGAAATAGTTTATTTATTTTTTTGTTTTTTGTTATTTTTTGTTTTTTTTTTTTTTTTTGCTGGAATATGAAGAAAAGTGAAACAAAAACATTTGACGCATGTAACTTATCACTTTATTACTATTTATTATATTATAGACGATTTTTGGATGGAGCTAATAATTATTTAATATAACCACATTCATAGCACAACCGTCTTAATTTTGCAATATACATGAATCCTTATCTTTATCCAAGAATAGCGATAGTGGTTTAGTCATAATGGTATTCATTTGAATGTTTGATTCCACACCTCCCCATTGACAAATCTATGTCTGACACTATTAGGACGTGTGGTGTTAATTTTACGGTTAAGGGTGATATACCCACATATTATTTCGTCTCCAGTATTCTTCTAAGGTGTGTAGTGTAGCTGTTCGAATTAAATCTATGTCAGTCTTACAACATCCTAATGTACATTTTACAAAAACCTGTTTAGTGAAAAAGAGAAGAGGTTTTTATAGGTTTGTAAAAAAAAATAGAACTGAAGGGTTCGATTGTGCAGTCAATCAAACCATGTACCACTACAGACGTACCAGTCATAGATGAACTATTGAAGAACAATAATCATGACTAAATCCATTAAAGATATCGTATATCAGTTCATTGTTCTTAAACACGAAATATGTAGATAAAAATGTTGAACCTTGTAAAGATCAAAGTTTTTTCAAAATTTGAAATGAATGCAATTTGTTTACGTTAAGACGATGGAACCCTTATCATTGAATCAACTTCATCAAGAAACTGGATTGGGTTTGGCTTTATTGCAACCATAAGTTTGAGGTGTGGCCCAAAAGGTGTGTTCATATTATATATGATTATTTGCAACTGTTTTAATTGTTAAGTCGTCGGAACATTGACCAATGCAGATATTACATGAAACATGTTTTCTACAACAATGAAGAAAAACCCAATAAAAGTGTTCCTTTGGTGAAAAAAAATAAAATTTCATGAATTTTTGCCCTTAGAATTTCTTTAAAAATAATTTCATCGATATTTTCATTGATTATTTTTTATTCTATTGGATGGTATACAATGCATTTCCATTTCATACAATGTAAATTTTTATGTATTGAAATTTCCGTCTACAGTCTTGTGAAGTAGGTATGTGCTTGGTTATTGATCAGCTGATTATTCCAATGTTCTGAAGGAGTTTTTGCGTCGGTCTTTTTAAAATGCAGTATCGTGAGGTTAAATCGAAGTATACCTCTCACAATGTCGGTTCACCAGACGACTGTTTTTGCTAAAATTTACTGAGTTTAAAGAAGTACAAATGGAAATTATGAAAAAGCATGGTACCTTATTCTAAAGTGAATTATATACCTCGATGCATCTATGAAGTAATAAAATCGTTTAACTAAATTGATATTGTGTTTTGATTAGATTGTTATATTGATCAATTTCTGTACTTAACAACCTTTCAGATACATTGATTCGCTTGATGAAATGTTCAGTTACAATAGACAAGATATTCTTTGCCTGATTGAGGAAATAGTTGTCTAAATATTTGATGTGATTTTTTAGGATAGGTAAGATTCCATTCCGCAAGTATGAAACTGTAAAATGGTTTTTGGTTTGCTTTTTGACTATGTTTCGAAGTTTTTTTGAGCATGTTTCATTATAAATTCGTAATCCAAAATTTGCATAAATGATGTCAACAATTAATATGTCCCTCTTAAGCATGATAATAAACAAAACTTCTTCAAAAAATATAGTGAGTTACTTATTTCAACCATTTTGTGGGTATTTTATTGTGATTAAATTGAAATACGTTCCTTCAAGTGAATGAATTAATGTGAATTCTGAATTATTATCGAAAGCTTAACCTTCTGAAAGAATTAAACGGTCATATCTTGTGATTCTATTGAGGGTTATTTAAGTTATGAAGGAAAAATATTTAGTAAAAGTCGTGAATAGCTAGACTTATCAAGGGTCAAATTCATAAATTCGTAAGTACGAATACGGGTATAACTAAAAAAATGCAAAATTGACAATTTACTGTTGGAAGGACAATTTTTGAAATAGGTTAACTCGATGTTTGATTAAGTTATTACCATTATTTGGTGTTCTTGATCTATATCAAACCTTTTTAATTATTTATTGTTAATCTACACACAATATGCAACTTTTAAACCATTAGCAATAATAGGATAGAGTTACAATGAAAGCTTCAAATCACTGAATCCCAATCCTAGGTTCTTGCGGGAGAGGCATTTTGGACAATTAGTTGTGTTGAATGTACCACAGTTGCATCGTCGTGACTGTAATTTATTCGTAGAGCGGTACCGATAGTTAACATTAATGAAGGTTTAGAAATACAAGGAGCCAGAAATATTGGTGATCATGGCTCAATATAAATATTGCAAGCATCATGTTCATAAGTGGGACATATACCTTCATTTCGTGATTGTGACTTATAAAACAGTATTATTTAAGTTTAAAATAGTGGAATCTTCAGAAAGTGACAATTAAAGTTCGGTGTCTCGGACTAATATAATGTATTAACAACAACACGAAGGTGTCCCCTACATAGACTACAATAAACGAACTTGTACCAAAGCCACGCTTTCGACACTTGCTAGCATGCCGTCATACAGTCAACAACGTGGCATGAGGTTGTAACCATCTTTTCCTCTACGTAAATCACTGTAATAAAGTTATTTAAAATACACAACGTGAAGTCCTACATTCCAGTCAGTCTTGTGTAAGCCCTAGTACACAAAAATATCTATGTTGAGTATTCTTGAAGTAATTGCACTGCGTTACACAATTTAATAACATTTAACAATATTTAATAACATATTTAACAATATTTGATAACATATTTAACAATATTTAATAACAGTTAACAATATTTAATAACATTTAACAATATTTAATAACATATTTAACAATATTTAATAACATTTAACAATATTTAATAACATATTTAACAATATTTGATAACATATTTAACAATATTTAATAACAGTTAACAATATTTAATAACATTTAACCGTATTTAATAACATATTTAACAATATTTAATAACAGTTAACAATATTTAATAACATATTTAACAATATTTAATAACAGTTAACAATATTTAATAACATTTAACAATATTTGATAACATATTTAACAATATTTAATAACATATTTAACAATATTTGATAACAGTTAACAATATTTAATAACATTTAACAATATTTAATAACATATTTAACAATATTTAATAACAGTTAACAATATTTAATAACATATTTAACAATATTTAATAACAGTTAACAATATTTAATAACATTTAACAATATTTAATGTACCAGGATTTCCTACTATCATGTATCTTGACAGCAAATTGATGTGTGAAGAAGGTATGAAATAATAATCAGCAAATATTAATTTATTGCCATTCTGAAAGAAAGTAAGATCTTTGTTTCAAAATGGAATGCGGCATTAAATTTTCATTATCAAAAACTAATGATACCAGAAAATATTTCTATTTTATGCTATTATATGCTACTTACATCTTTGTACTGGATCAAACTGAATTTGTTTTAAAAGGGTTAATTAAAAGCGGAGAGCATTCTAATTGTTAATTAAACAGTTTGACCAGTTTTGGTGTTTGTCTTAATAATGGTTCGAAATTATTGGTTGAAATCCTTAGATTTTGTAGGATACATTTCTCTACAATGAGGCGTTTATTTTTAACAGCTGCCAGTTTTGGCGTTAAAAATAATAACAGCTTGATTTGTTTGGCTAAAACTTTCAGATACGTTAAGGGATACATTTCTGTAGAATTTAATTTGAGGAAAACATTTTTTTCGACCTACAAAAAAAGTGGAATGTCCCTTAAACTTTTGCATGGTGTTCTTGTCTTTCAGCACACGTGATTAATTTAAACGCGATTTTGAAAATCTTTGGTAAAGATTAAGATTGATCTAAAACATATTATTAAAGACAAAAAGATCAGTTTCCACTCATGATATTTGAAATTGGATGCCACGTTTGATTTTTGTGATAACCATGTATAGTTACTAATTATAGTGTTTTGTATATAAAATGAGCTTTCGAGGAAAATAAAAGGTTTGAGAAACTAATCAGAGTTTACGCTGACTCTCATAAAATAACCACCAGAGTCAATATTCAGAGAGATTTAGGCAATAAATGACATTGACCCCGCCATACCATTGTTTTGGTGTGTGTTGAATTTACAATAATGGCCTTAAACTTCTTACTGCATCTATTAAAGTTTTTTATGTCACAGTTAAAGACAAGTTGAGAATATGTCATTATGATTCAGTCTACGGTCGGTTTATTTTCGAACTTGATTGAAATGTAATTGAATAATAAAATAAAACATGTCTAGCACGATAGATTCTCATTTTATTACAGTCTTAAAATGTATCTACGAATAACTTGTGACATTTTTTGCAGTAAAGTTAACTCTTACGTCAGACTATGGTTCTATTTCTTATTCCACTTGTTTGTGATGACAGAAATGCCGAAACAGCAAATTATATCAAGATGGACTACCCAATTTACCAATGGTTCCAAAATAGAGAAAGTTTTATTCTGCTAGCAGCGTACGCCATGGTGTTCCAAGATGATCATAAGCTAACATAAAGATCACGGAAAACTCTAATCAGGATATTCATTCATCTTAGTTTGATGTTGACATTATTCAAATAAGATAAGAGATTGAATTTTTCGTTTTATCGAGATTGTTGCCAGTACATCTTGGTAATTAGGAGATATAATCTAACATGGATTTCACTTAATATAAAGAATTATGTTCTGTGATTGCCAGCCTCATCAATCAAATCAGTTGACTAATGCTGCCGTTACCGTATCTCTACTGTATCAACGACACTTCATCGTCATAACATCAATTATAACTTTTACTCTGGCAATTCATCATAGTCTACATCTCGATAATGTAGGAAACGATCCTCACCTTTTGCTCCAGCATGTAATGGATGGATGTAATACCAATAATAAAGAAAAGTCCAAGAGTGTACAGAGTTATATAAATTGATGAGGTAAAGGTTCCTGATAACTACACTTGTAGCTAATTACAAGATGATCAGATATGATTTTTGAGCAACATTAATAATCTTTGTAGATATCATAATGCTTAGACAAATACATTAAGCACTTACATCTTCTTATGGTGGTTTCAAGGAGTGAATAATAGAAAATTTTCTGTTGGCCATTCGTAAGACATTGTGTATTAATAATAAAAATTGGTTTTATGAAAATCGTAATAAATGCTGTGCTCATAATTAAGGCCTTACATTGTTGTTTTCTGTAATAGAACTATATGAAATACTCATTAGCAAAAAAGCTAGGTCAACAGAAATTTGTCGTTCTCCGACCTCGGTTAGAATTTACAATCAACATGCGCGTGATTGTTTATACCCTATTTTCTTAATAGAAGGTTTTGAATAATAATATAAGTTTGATAAGTTTGTATCATAGATAAAATATCAGCAGATCTATCTTGGGCCGCTGACATTTAAATCTTCATCTGTCAACAATCACTATAAATATCATGTAAATTGAGATTAATTTCATGATTTTCATGGACTCTCTGGAATTACTGATAGATCTAAAGATGACATCTTATCATAGTTCTGTCAGTTATTTTTCAGGATGGAAAGCATTTGAAGATTGTTGCCAATGTATTCCATGTTAAGCTTAAGGAAGTGTCAAAAGCACATGACGTGAAGAAGTCTTCGGATGTTCAAGTTCGTGTCTGGAACAGTTAGGTTATCGTGTATAGTAATATTCGATATTTTTCCAAAGGGGCTTTAATAGACTAGAAGCGGCACGGACTTAAAATGATAGCACAAGGTGACACAACTAATTGTCATCTGAAAGCAATTCGTTTATCAAAGTCGAATGCCACTAGCAAAAAACAAAACGACATACAATAACATGCCATTACGAGTATTGAGTCCATACTATTGACAGTCCGGACAGGAGAGTATTGACATTTGATAGCGAACTCGTGTATATTCATTTATAATCATTATAAAACCTTTTTTCAAGAAAAAATGAGTCACTCCATTTCACTGATTTCCCCCAGATATAGAGAAGTAACAAAGAAAGTAGGCTATTATTCACGTTATGCTCCTAAAACGGCATTATTTATTAAACAAGTATTTTTACAACTATTACTTTTAAAAAAAAATACACGATGTACCTCATAAAAATCCGGAATAAGTGTTTACTATCATGTAATTTGTCAGATTTGATAAATTGTGGATATTCCTTCGGATAATAACTGTGATAATCCAGTCTCAAGGGTATGTCTGATCTTTTTAATTCTTGGTGCTCAAATTAGCTACGGCTAAAGACTTAAATCTAGAAATATGTGTCCCTTACCTGTAAAAATCCTACGTAAACATTTCATACTCGATATGTTTCTTTGGTTGGTGATGGAAAACCAGAAGATTTAAGCAAGTAAATGCCAAATAATAGAGAAATATGTATCTTACTCTTTCAGGAGGTTTCAACTAAAATTATAGAGATTTCATATGGCCTAAATCCAAAACTTGTTGAAATTATAACACCCCGTTTTTTTACTAACCGTCTTAAAACGAATCCAGGTTGACCAAGTAGATAATTATGATGTCAAGTTGTTGTCGAATTTATAATTGAGATTGACGCAAACCGCTTAAAAAGTGTTCAAAATACACATTACACATGACAGCTCAGAAATACAGATCACTAATAAAGACTAATCAATTAGAGAGAAACACTCAGTTACAGGAACCTGGAACCTGACATAGGTTAACTTGACAAGAAATCTTGTTTCTAGATGATAATTAATGTTTTTATCTAACTTTTAATTTTATTTGTATACTGCCCCTATATGACCATTAACCAGAAGTCGAAAGTCACTGACAATGATTGCAAGTTTTCAATTGAAGTGAACCGAAGGACACTATACAATTTTGGTGTCTGGTATTAAGGGTATAAAGCGATATTTATTTATAAAACCAATGTAAGGGATACTGTACTAGTACCAGAATATGTTGACATGTATATTCCAAAATAGGTTAACTTTAAGAAAAATAAATTGATAGCTTTAATGTGATATGTCAATAACTTCGTGATGCCGACCAAATAACTGTTTAATGTTTTTGACGGGATGTAGCCTTGTTGTACTCTTCTTTTAACAGAAAATTATCCTATGATGAACATGCTCGAGCATCAACCGTCATATACTGTGACTCAGTGGCCTCTGCCTGGGCCGATATTCTGGAAGACAACAGGTCCAAGTTTTTGATTGATGCTGATTGCACCCCATACCATAATGCTTTGTCCACACCTCGGGTCTCTTTCAACCACACACTGTTCTGTAAAACGTTCAGCTCGTCTTCGCCACACTCCTACACTGCCATCTGCTGTGGAAATACAGTCCCGGCTCTCATCTGAGAACACGTGGATCCTCCACTGCTGATACCGGCAATGTTGTCGTTGGGTGGTTCACTCAAGACGTTGCTGATGATGACGGGGAGTGAGCACCAGACCCCTGTATGGACGGCGACAAGACAGGTTTTGGGAGGAGAGCCAATTTCGAACGGTATCAGCACTGATGGGTTGCTGATAGTGGCCAATGGAGCTGTGTGTATCGCAGTGGTGAATCTGTCATACAGATGTTGCCGCATCATGTCTTGGTGCTGTGACTCGACGAATACGTGGACGGTCATCAGTGCTGTTGGTGGTGCCTCAATGGTACGATGACTTGAACACGTTGTTGGGCATTTAATCATCCAATGGCTTGTTCGTGTTGTTGGGGGGTTAGGCGGGTCATCAGCTCACAGCTCACAGTTGTCTTCACAGCAACTGAATTCTCAGTAGGCGTCAGTTTGTTTTAAAAATAACGTGTTGCACGTGCATTTCGATTTTCCTCCGCATCAATTACAACTTGTTCCCACGGACATCTGACAGTTCCCTAGGTTCAGAATTCTTAAATCGAACGCAACCGATATTATCATTTGAATGTCATAAACTGGCCTTTTTAAAGTCTAAAAATCATATATTTATAAAGAAAAATAACAATTTTGTCGTGCATGACTTTGTCTAAACTAAACAATTTTATCTGTTCGGTATATTACGCGAACTTGTCTCTGATTTTTTGCCATCGTTTCAGCTCCAACAACCTGCATCTCCGACAAGGGGAAACCAATTACCTACGCTTTAATTGAGAACTTTCACAAAATGAAAAATGAATAAATAAATAGATTTTCAGACGACACATTATTTCTACTTCATTAATCAACAAAATCGATCAATATTCGAAAACTTTCTTAATAAGTTAAATGATTTTATACTTCAGAAATGGACTGATATATTATTAAGATGGGATCCCAAGAAACATGATGGAATTCATACAGTAAGAGTTCCTTCAAATAGGATATGGTTACCAGATATATTACTATATAATTTGTAAGTAGCTTGGAATGTACATACTGCTGTGTTCAATATTTGCTTATGCCATTAGTTTCTAACATGAAGTCTTGAGGTGCCAAATACGTCCATCAGTTCAGATTAAACTGCAGCAATCAGTAATTTAGCATAGAAGAGAAAATGCGTTATATATTGAACCAATACACTTTGCTTGAAGTGATTTGTAAAATACAATTTTACGATTACAGAGTACTTATGATTTCTTCTTTAACAATTGAGTAGACTGTGTTTCTGTTGATTCAAATACTCATAGAAAATAAATCTTGGTTTGATTTTCCTCATTGATTTATCATTTCTAGAAAAATCTTGATATGTTTTTGATTCAAGTGAACTTATTCGTAACAGATCTGTATCAAATCTTTGGATTTAATTTGTTACCTTTCTCATAGTTTTGTAAGCATGAAACATATAAATCTTATCATTGAATGGTAACATATCTTTAATCTGCAGCCTGTCAATAAAATGATACACTGTGTGAATATCAATGGATGTTTAAAGAGAAAAACTGCTTAGGGCTGGTAGAATTTAAGACATTTGTTATTAGTTATCCCATGTCCTAAATTAAAATACACCAAGGTACCGTTAAATACCCATAAAATATATTTCACATCGAGGAGCTCTATAAAACTGTATCAGTCAAGTATTAAAGGTTATTTATCTCAACATTTCGCTATAAATTGAATGAATGAACGCTTTAGAAAAGTTGCATGTTCAAATCGATTTTAATTTTGAAGCAATCAAGAATCTGTTCAATTTGAATTGCACTGATTACGTTGTTAGTTACTGTTATTGTCACAAAGAAGAATAAAACCATTCGAATACGTCTTGATTTACTCCTTTCGTGGGAATAACCGGTTATTTATCACTTAAGTAAAGAATGGAATTATTCAACTTATATCTTTCAAATACACGACCACATGAATTCGAAAATTATGTTGTAAAACTGGGATATGGCAGTCATATATTGGGAACAAAATGACCAGTTGTCGGTAAAACCTATAAATATATACTGTAAAACATAATCCTTCTTTATATACATTTTAACAAGAACTGGGGAAGTTTGTTTTTACTGACAATAATTTGTAGTTTCGTGGGAAACAAAGTATTTCTTTCCCCATCCATGTTATACATGTTTTATGTTTTATTTGTAGTTTAGTGGGACTAACTGAAAATAAGACTTTTGTCTAAATGGGTTGCCAAAATGAAGTTATATACACTGTCAAACCATAGTTAGTAGTTGGTTGAATTCATTCATGGGTATGACTCAGATACCGTTTGTCATATTCTAAGTTAAGCAAATCACTCTGATATAAATCATTGTTGAACTTATTTTGTTAACTATTTATTGTTAATATAAAATAACAGTATAACAATATCAGTGTGTGGTATAATTGGGTTAAAAGTACATTTGTTTATTCGAAAATTGTAAGATAATCTGATCAAAATGAGTATGCATTTGTTTAATTTGGTTAATTTTAAGATAACTATTTTAACAAGGAAATTGAAATAGATGGAACTTTGTATAAGTCGTGAGAGAGTCACGATATTCTAGAATTAATAACCGACCATGTTCTTGATCCGATTTTTCTTACAGACTAATTTACATATCATGACCTTAATAGTAGTTGGTAGTCACAACAAAATAAGAAATACTTTATCTATCCTTTTATTATCTTAACAAAACTTTAAAATTGAATGTGACATTAAAAAATATAGCTAGACTCTCCTTACAGAACTTTGGGTCAAGTTTGACACTCGCTACAACGTTTATTTACTCGGATTTCCATTTCAATAACTTGGACTTAAACTTGGATTTGAAGGATTTAGCATTATTTTTAATTTATAGCATCTCCAGTTTTGGCTATCAAAAAGTAATAGAAAGGCTATAGATGTGAAAGTACTTCATTCAATATTTCTATTTCAGTGCCGATGACCGTCTTAGAGAACAGCGTGATGCATTGGTTGTAGTTGATTACAATGGAACTATATTGTGGATGCCACAAGCTATTTTAAAAAGTTCCTGTTCTTTTGATACGCTTTATTTTCCCTTTGATGAGCAATCGTGTTTGATGAAGTTTGGATCATGGACGTCTAATGGAAATAAACTAAATATAGATTTTGTTCTGCAAGACTCAATGGACATGAGTGATTTCGTGAAAAATAATGAATGGGATGTGACAAAAAATACAGCGGCGCGGAATGTGTTATATTATAGTTGCTGCCCCGAGCCTTATGTCGATTTGACATTTAATTTAGAATTACGACGAAAGGTGGCTTTCTATACATTTATACTGGTTCTACCATGTGCTCTGCTCAGTTTATTAACATTGGTTATATTTTGGGTACCACCAGAATCTCCTGCTAAATTACAGCTAGGTATAGTAAACATGGTTCATATATTGTGTCTTTCATTTCATATGCAAAGTGTAGCAAAGTGATATTATTCGTATGCTTTATTGTAGAAAACCCTTATTTAAATATTACTTCTGGAAAGTGTTAAAGGTAGTATTTTGAGGTGAAAAAAGAACTATCTATTGTCTTAAGTCTTAAGATCTGATAAAATTGCAACTTGTGGAGGTGAAGAGCGTAAAAGTGTTTAGATGTGCTTGAAAATTGCCTAATTTGATGACCTTATATCACATTTCAGGTATGAGTGTCTTTGTTGCGTTTTTCTTCTTGTTATTGGTTTTAGCTGACTTTACTCCAAGAGCAGCTGCTTCTATACCTCTAATTGGTAAGATTATAAATTTCTGTTTTTCAATTGTCTGATATGAAGACTGGCACGTGAAAGTGTCTAGAAATTCACAAGATAATTTCTCCATATGTAGAAAGCTAATGGTTTCTTTTGTGCTTCGTTACGACCGACTTTTATTTTGCATACAAGAATCTTTGGAATAATGGGAAGTAACTCCAATAAGATATGAGATTATTTTCCTTTTAGGTGCATATTTCTGTTTAAGTATGGTGATGATTACGATGTCAACTGTTTTAGCATGTATTGTTGCCAATATGTATTTTCGGGGAGTACGGGTCAACAGGGCTCCAAGGTGGTTCCGTTCCGTAAGTATGAGTAAAGACTTTTCGCTTCCATACAAAATGATTCATTGAGTTTGACAACTTTACATTCTTCTACGGATACTGAGTATACTTTAGATTTGGGTGTCAATGGTCGGAAAATCCATGAACAATACTGCTTTGTTAAATGAAATGAATATAATTTTACAGACTACTTTTCTGCGCCTAACTGAACTGGGTTGTGCTGACGAAGACGGACAGCGCCATGTATTGTTCAACAAGAGTGACATTAGCCTACTTTCCAACAGTCGAGATATCTTTAAAGTACACAGTTTTTAGCGTACGAGGCCTCGGTTCATTACCCGATTCCAAAACTAGAGGTTTTTGTTCATGTCAACCTGCATCACCGATAGGGGAAATCGGTTTGAAACATATGAAGGAACCATCTCGACATATGCCGGGATTGATCCCTGTAAAATCAAATTATTTTTTTATTCTCTTGTAGTGTTTGGTTAATGGCGTTGCTAGAGTTTTATGTTTAAGAGAAAAAATAGTTGAAATAGATACAACATCCCCTTCAAAGAAAAATTGGAACACATGTGTCATAACTCAACAGAATGGACGAAATAATGACACAGATACAAAGTGTGCGAAGGTCCGTCTACTGGAAAACAGTACGGAACACAAGATTCCATCTGAAACTACTGAGGGGGGACGGGACACAGTAGTCAGTGATTTGAACAGGATCAATATTTTAGGTAGAAATTCAGGACTTTATGATGAAGTGAGAGAAATACGAGATATTTTACAGAAAGACGATGAAAGAAGAGTAAAAAGGGTTGAAAAAGATAAATATGTGTTAGAATGGCGGGTATTAGCCTGTATAATTGACAGGTTATTCTTTATCATTTATCTTTTCATTAATATTGTAGGATTAATTGTTTTATTTGTGGCAAAATTTTGAGATCATCTTCTACATCATGTCTGTATGTGTGGCTTTCAATCATTGGCTATTTGTTTCGATTGTTCATTTTTACAGATATCATATACAGATACACATTTTCAGTCATTAATTCTATTTTAACGACCATGATGCAGTTAAGAAGATATTTGTTTTAATTTATTACACAGGTTTGCTTTGGTTTGTATTTATGAGGGATTTTGTGTATTTTGTGTGTCATTAGACTTGCCAGTACTTCAAAATGCAGTTTAGCTGTTAACTAAGACACTATAAGAAGTTTATAGTTCTGTTATTTTCTAGCAATTATGCTTCCCTGATTACCATAATTTGTGTATTTCGGGGCAAAACATTATAATATTTACATCGATAGAATCGATAGAATATCTGAATACACTTTAAATCAGGGTATAACAGTATCGAAATTTACATCGACAATCTTACTATTTTGTTTTTGTAGTAGTAATATCTGATTATTGTATATGATTGATATATATGTACATTAGGCCTTTCAGTTAGAAGTGTATAATATATATTCCATTATATATTCCCAAACTGTTGAAAGTAACAACCTCTGTCAAACATTACTTAATCACCTGATAGATAATATTTTTATATTAGTCAAGTTATAAGTACATTGTGGAATTTTAAAAGTTTGATTCATAAATCAAGGTACATTTCACCAAATAAGCAATCGTTACGCAATGTGTGTTTATATTTTATAATATTCAAAGAATTGGCGTTTTTCACTAACATGTGACGTACACTTAGTTTTTCAATATTATATTCGAGTATGAACAATATTTCTTATCAAACAAATAATCTTATCAAACAACTTATTGCCAATTCGCCTTTTATGTCGGCAGCACAGGTTTGATTGCATAGGTGTCGCTTATACTTCCTGTTGATATAAATAATCTTTGTGAAGTGATGCGATTGACAAAATGAGAAAATGGAATCGTGTGTCATGTAAGATTTCTTACATAATGCATATTTGTTGTTTACCATTATCGTGTGCCTAAAATCAGCAAGCTTTGCAATTCGATGGCAAGTTCCTATATTTGGTCCAGATTTATTCAGTGTTAACTGTTATGTCTTATGCCGTGACATTTAACAATATTAGATTTTGTATGACAACACATATCACTAATGCAAATAAAGATTCACATAATTTAAGTTCCTTGACTCATCAATTCATCATGTTAGTTTATAACCATGGCGTGCACATTTTTGGAATGTCGCATCTAATTTAAAGGATCCGGGTTCCGTTATAAGTTGTTGATTGGCTCTTTCGGAGGTAATTTTTTTAAGAGCAGTACCTCATTTTGAAATGAAATGAAATGAATAGAGTTTTACGTCCTACTTTACTGCACCATGTGGGCTAATGAAGACGGGCAACGCCATGCAGGGTGCGGTGAGGGAAATTTTGCCAGGACAGCGGCATTGGCCTGCTCTTTTTCGATTTCCAACTGTCGAGGGATCTTTAACGTGCACAGCCTGTAGTACATGGGGCCTCGGTTTATTTTGAAGTTGATAACAATAACTGAAAATATAATCATTATTTATTTCAATGCATTCAATATACATTAGTCTAGACATGGCAAACATGGGACCGTTTCATAGGAATTTCAATAAAATCTAAATTGTTGTCTCGACACCGAAAAAATAATAAAAACCAATCCATCTCAGTACAACGTGTTTCTACAAATGCTGTGCATATTACAATGATTTTAAACAATTCGTCGGTTTTCGACTTAAAAGCTCGTCTTCCCATTCACACATTAAGATGACGAGAATGAACTGGAATTCTTTGTAAATTTGTATATTGCCTTTAAAATCGATTCGATAGATCTTTCTCTCGAGTCATACAAAAAAAGGTAAGGGACATTGCTGTCCTACAAGTCTTATAATGGTGGATACAGAGACTCGGTGATTAATGTGGTTATGTTTCCAATAAACAGATGATTTGCAACGTATGTTTTAGGCATGGCATACATGTATTCACATCTAACTAGAGCACTGTGCTTTATGTGTACAGTAATGATTACTGACAAGGGGAGAACAGCGCGTTGAAAGACGGAAGTAAGACAGGTAGTGAGTCAAAAGAACTGAATGGCTAATACGCCACGTTGCCTTTTACCAAAATGACCGCAATACCAATAATGTTGATCAACACATAAAAGGCAAAGAATATTCGGTCAACAACACACGCTATTATTCTCCATTCTTCCGTATTTCTCTTTTTAATATCAGCATTATTAGATCTTTCATCAAATCTGCTCATTATCTCTTTAATTGCACTCACTTCCGTAGATACAGGATTGGCTGGAATTCGACAAGGCGTTCGACGTCTGGGCGACGGTTCACAACTACTGTCATCCAGACCTATATCTGTTATTGTAGTATGAGATTCGATTCCAGTCTCTAAAAGGCGAACTCTGGCACAGGCCATCTCGGAGTCTTCGTCGTCAGGTTCTGTTGTGACATAAGATTTCCACACCTTCCTATGAGAATTGTATTCTCTCTGAACCTCATTAATCATATCACCAAGACACATGGCTCTCGCAATACCATCAAATACACACTGGAAACAGATGCACAGAAAAGAATATTAGAAATAATCTTTGTAATAGGACGAACATAATACAGCTTAAAGATGCTACCAAAACATTTCAATAATTTCAATAAAACTTATACCTTTCGCCCATGTTGAGAAAATAACCATGTTTATTTCCATAGCTCTCAAATGTCAAAAATAATGTTAGACCAGTACATTGTGAAAACTTCAAGAAACATAATTTTCTCGGTATCCAGAAACATGAATTGATCAGCTTGATCTACTCTCTTTAATAATATTATCAACTTCCGGTTCAGGAAATAAATTCATTACACTTAATGACGCTTATTGGAGCCATTACTTGAAAGTTGACTTCGTTCATTCTTCATTGCTAACTGATTAGAATTCTGATCCACCAATTGAGACACTTGTAGCGTGTCTAATTACAAGAGTACGAGAAGACTAGCAGACTTACCGATCTCAGCCATTGTGGAGCTCTATTGACCCGTACACCACGGAAAAACATATTGGCTATTATACAGGCAAGAACAGTTGACATTGTTATCATTACCATACTCAGACAGAAATATGATCCTGTAATATAATAAACTGATAATTAGATTATATACAACAATCGCTCTTCTATCATCCTTCTGATTACAACCATGCTTTATTAAATATCATCTCTGAGTACCTACAAGATAATTAAGTCCTGAGAATTCGCTAGCATACGTTATTGGTAATGGAAGACCAGTTTGCATACAGATTGATTGTTAGATAATGTTCTAAACAAACTAAGAGCTCACCAAGCTCGAAGTACTCTTCTTTATGACCATATATTTATTTAAGGCATTTTCAATGTCAGACAAAGTATGTTAATGCATGCAATAAAAGTTCTGTCTGATTTCATACTGATGTATGTCACACTGCATAATGTCATTGGTTATTTTTGCCTGTACTATGATCTGAATTGTTCAAATTGTTTAGAAAAATGTTCGAGTAATTTTACTAACAAAACGATATAATATTATGTCAATATTGAAAGACAATAATTATGCACCGTTCCATTAAGTTTGCTGTAGAACACAATTATCAAATTCCATTGAAAATTGAAAATTGACGATAATCGATAATAGAATATTGATATTAATAAAGTTACTAAAGTATATAATGAATATGGCATGTGATCATGTCACATTTGAACTAGGCAGTTTTCTATTTTGTACATTTCTAATCAAATTTACAAGATTTTATCTTGACACTCAATTCATTTTAAACATTAACTCTATCTTTGAGGATTATTGAATATTCCAAAAGACAAACTCACTTATTAATACTGGGTAAAATTTTATCACATTACAATGAAATGACAAAATAAGTAAGAAATATTGTTGAAATAACTGGTTTAATTCAGCAGACATACATATTGATCCTTAAGAAAGATGTTATGTTTTGTTGTGATTATTACAATGATAACTGTAAATATAATCATGTTTAAAAGATAAATGATGAAAACAGAGCATGATTATAAGTATTATACTTGTTATACCATATTTCCAGACAACAGTTCATACTGTTATTATTCAATTTTAACTTGAACCTTGCATCTTCATTATAAATAATATCACAACGTTACTCTTTTTCTAAGAAAAATACACATTCAGGCAATATAAATATATTTAATTACAGTCTCTATCTGGGTTGCCGTCAAATCACAAAATCTCTTTATCGGTTTAGTACGAAGCCCGAAGTTACGGAAATTTAAAACCTATTTCTTTCAGAATAAATGATCTTTTAGAAATACAATTGGCAAACACACAATCCTCATATATCTTTTCCTATAAACGTCACATGAGTAAATTTAACTGTTATTGTGTTTTCAGGTTTATGTTCAGATAAATGATCTTACCTATCAACGGAATGGTAGTAGCTGCTCTCGGAGTATAATCAGCTAATAATAATAACAGGACGAAAAAGGCAAGAAATATATTCATTCCTGAAAAAAATTATAAGTATATGCGTTTATCTGGAGGAAACCTTCTCCCAAAAAATATGCTTGTAATGCTAAATAGGTAACCTTCAAATAAGACTCTGGGCGGCGAACAGCAGAACAATGTCACCAAAGAGATAGAAACCAAGAAGCTTTCTCTATTTTTAGTAAACCAGTCTTTTCTATCAGCACTAAAACTCAAGATTTAACAGTGAGTGAATGTAATTAACATTTCACAGAGGGCACTGGTATTTGTTATGGTAGGAAATTTATCTAGAATCTATAAAATTACTTAGGCCAATGGATAATAAAAAGTACTAAGGTTACTAACCTAATTGCAGCTTGGCTGGCGACTCGGGGGGAACCCAAAATATCACTAAAGTCAATAAGGATAAGAGACCACATGGTAAGATTAATATAAAAGTATAAAATGCCACTCGACGTCTAAAACTGAGTTTGAAAGTTAAATCTATGTAAGGCTCAGGACAGCAGGAGTAATATTTTACATTTCGTTTTCCTGAATTATCAATCAAATCCCATTCATTACTTTTCATATATTCATGTAAATCCATTTTATCTTGGCCGAGTAAAAATTCCACATTTAACTGATCGCCACTGTAAGTCCATGATCCAAATTTTAGATAACATGTTTGTTCATCAAAAGGGAAATATAGGGTATCAAATGAACATGAACTGTTTAAAATGGCTTGTGGCATCCACAATAAATTACCAGTATGTTGAACAACAACTAGAGCTTCTCTTTGTTCTTTTAATCTATCATCAGCACTGAAATATACAACCATATAGGTGGATTTAGGAATGTTGAATCTACATCTGCAATTAGATTTCGGTTGATGCGTCCAACTGGATCACACAAAGTTATTAACATCTAATACTTTATAAAGCTGAATGTGCTGCAAATTTAAGATAATGTAGCACATGTATATCGTTTTGAGATAAACGCAATAAATATGTTTCCTGTGGATTTTCAATATATATTTTGAAACTGTATGCTTCTTGCTGCTGAGTATTCCGTCAGCATGTTACTACTGATTATGCTTAGAAAACATGCTTAACATGTGTAAGAATGGATGGAGAATGCAGAAACATCCTGGTAGCCAAACTGAAAGGAATCCGAACGACAACATAAATATTATAGATTCGTAGATCTTCATGTAAATATATGGGAATAAAATAGTCCTAAAATAGGTCAATTGCTTGCATAATTATACAATTTCACATTCACTATAGTATAATAATATATATTATAGCTGATAAGTATGAATCATTAATAAATAACAATAATAATGATGCTATAGTCAGTAATTGTTTGCCGTTCGATCCATCTATAACATTTCTAACTAATATGTCATTAGAAACACCATTACTGTAATTTTAAACATAATGAATGTTCAATCTAAATTCAGTCATAATTAAAATATGGCACAAGCTTCACTAAGTCGACTTTATCACTTTATAAACATCCGGAAAAAATAGTAACAGAAAGGAATGTAATTATTCTTTACTTTTAGATTACGTGTTTCCAGATTTTGGTTTGATGGCCAACACAAACTACAGGTCTATACATGACATTACCTTCGAATTAATATACTTACAAATTATATAACAGAATATCTGGTAACCAAATGTAATCAGCGGGTACCCTGATGCTGGTTATATTATCATGTTCCTTAGGGTTCCACGTTAGTAGTATATCTTTCCATACCTACAAAAAGACACACAATAATTAGTTAACAAATGCAAAGTATCTGACCATTATTCAAGACATTAAATCCCGGCAGAAGTGTCAGAACATCAAACAACCCCGAAAACTATCTGTCCGGCACGGCACAACGGTCTCTGACGGTGCAAATAACTTTATGTTATCATGAAACGGGCTCTATACATGACACGCTTTAATTGGTTAAATAAAAATCGTCATTAGAATGGGGCAGAGATATGAAAAAAAACTTTGTAAGATTGAAATGGACAAAAAATCACAACAAATAATAATTGTTCTCTATATTCGCGCCTGAACAATCCACACATATTTTGTGGAATCTTCAACAGTCAATAAGTCAAAGGGAACGGGAAGCTCATATTTGAACTTGTCACAGTGTTAAATGAGAAGGATCGAGAGATCAGACAATAATTTCGATTGGAAAACTTCTTGGGAATTGGTAGACTTTCTCTAAAAATTGACATCTCATCACACAGCTATTGATATATCTAAATGATACGGCATGGTGTTTATTCCTCCAGGTCATCTGTGTTCTGTTATGATTACAAACATCAGATACAATGTCCGTATTCACAATAGATACTTATTACTAGCTGTCAATAACATGACCACTTCCAATCAAAATATCACATTTACTTCTGTTCAATGTTCACCAGAAACATCAACAGTCAATATCATTAGAAATTCGGGATGACTTCTTGTCCAGACCTTTCTCATTGTTAGTGGTCAATTCGCTGACCATACACTGTCCGTAACATCTAGACAAAGAAATCCAATATCGCAGTTCAGTATGCTCAAGTCTGTCAATAAAAGCCAATCTCATTTACTGATTGCTTTAGCAATTTCATAAGCCCTAGACCTTTGGTATGTTTAACATGAGACAAATTGAAAATGACCTTATTTCTGTGAATCTTAGAATATCGGCGCCATTTGCCATGTTCCGTTTCGATATCAAACTGTCTTTATATTTTTAACAGAAACAGTTTGTCTTGTACTCGATCGACTAGCATTGAAAAACAGGCATAGTAAGCTGATGTAATGGTACAAACATTTAAATCCTCAAAGAGTAAGCATGAACGATATTTCTTAAAATAAACTGATGGTCTCCCATTTGTTTTTCAATGAATTTTTTCTTCAGATAATTTCATCAAAATTTTGTTGTAAGATTGATATTCTGATTCTACAATCAATTGTCAACAAGACATTGATGTGGTAAATAATCGGATTGAGTGAGAATAGAAAATCTTATGGACAATATTACAACAGTGTAAACATAATGCTCTCATTATTCCATTAATAGACATTTATGATTGGCTCTGATGAACTTTTATAAATTCTAGACAGTAGGCTACTGGAGAGAGGAAATATGGCGATTTAGAAATAGAATATAAATCGATTAAAAAGAGCAATTAGCAGTGAAAATACTCCATTAAATTTGTTTAGAGTACTGCTTTAACTAATCGTTATTCACTGAACACTGTGTTCATTAAGTAAATAAATATTACAATATAAATCTCAAATTGTCTCTCAAATACAATCTATAAAATCGATTAGGGTATGACACCTTAATAGATTTTCTTTTCTTCTTAAATCATTGTTGTTCCGGAAATGACGCTTGCAATAACAATTACTGAAGCACTGACCTGATTACTGTTAAGGAAATGACAAAAGCAACATCCAAATACTTTTACCGAAAATGTTTCAAGAAAAAAACTTTTCCTATCGCGACATTATAGTGCGCTTGTTCCTTTTTATCATTCTGGTGAGAAACGGGAATACAAAAGTATCTTAACAGTTTTGAATGAGAATCATATAACAATTTTTCATGACAATTTCCATACTATTTTCAATAAGTTTGTCTTGTGCAATAACGTAATTGGATGCGACAGGTTAGAAATACGTGCGAAGATTATTTAGTAAGAATTCGTCAAGTTGTGATAAAAAAAAAAGCATTTTAGGAGAGAGCAAGATTAAAAAGTTAATTTGGACAGCATTGATATACGACTAAGACACTGCAAGACACACGATAGATTCAACGTAATAAAATATACAGAGTGCAAAGAATAACAAATTGCAAAAAAGGTTTGCAATTAAATTTATATGCTGTAAAAAAAAATACTTACGTAATGGTACCATATATTGGTTTTTAAAACTTGATTTTGTTCATCTACATCCAATACTTGTATTAAAGACAGGCTAAAATTGACTGTTAAACTATCTTTAAAATTAACTATTGGTCGACCAGTTTTACCCTGTGAATGATATCGAGCTAATAACTTCTTGATTAAAATTTTCTCTGCTGGTATTTTATCAGGTGCTGATAAACATTCCCCTGTAACAGATTCAACACAGAAGTTTATCAGTATAGGATAAACCACGACATAGTGTTTTTCAGATACGTTAATTAAAATCCCGCATCCCGAGAGGTTTTACGAGGGTAAGGGTTTTAAATATCATAAAAATCCGAGGAAAATGTAACCATTGTGCTTTTTACTTTATATAAATCCAAGACCTTCTCGGAAAACATTTTCTGGTAAAGGTGCAAAACACGTATTTACAAACGTGGTCAATTCAGCCGACAGCCATTGAGCTAGACTAAATATTTGATAGGGGATTCTGGAGTTAAACTATTTAATAAATACCACTGAATTTAATACATAATATCGAGAATGTTCGGAAATTTAAACAATATCCCTGGGATTTTATATGAAAGGATTTACTTTTATCTTATTCCTGTCAGAACAAGGGGTGACGTCACTTGAGGGCTAAAATACATAATAAAATAAGAACGTATTGTGTGAAAGTCTCCTCCATAATCTGGTTAAAAACTCGGATCTGCTGTATTCTGACACAATACTTCAGTACTGTTAATCCATTATTTGTTTAGTTTTCTTTACAAAAAGAGAATTCGCGTATAAAATATTAGTTTGCGACTTTTTATTCAAAAAGTACAACTTGATAAACATGTTCGAGTTCTTCAAAGTAATTATTTTAGCTATATACAGCAAAAAGGTGTAATTGAGGGCTAAAGTTCAAATACTTCTATACTAAAAAGAAATGTCATTGTATTTTTTGCATTTCAATATTGACTGTAAAAAATATTTATGTTGAAATGTTCAATTCTATTCAATCAAGGGAGAAACAAAAATGGTTATGTCTGGAAAGAACAAACAGGTGGATATCATAAAAACCACATTATACATCTTTATGTCCATCTTCGATCCGATCCAGTTGCTTTCGCGACTACTGGTCTGGATTGCCGATTCTGGTTGCTTATCTGGTTAACTTATATTTTATTAACATAACCAAATGTGAAGGTGAATCATATTCTCCAATCAACTGTAATATTGAATAGGTTTATAATGCCATCTTACGGTCATGGAATGTTTCTTAAGGTTCCTTAAGGTCACATGAATGTCACATTTTATTTCCGATATATTTTAATGATTAGCTCATTCATTGTAGGCATTCAATAATTGTATTGTAATTAAATTGTAATCAGCAATGGATTGAAAAAGCTACGAAATTAGAAATATAGAATCAGCATAATATTATGTTATTTCATTTCATTTTCAGAACATTTTATATTAATACTATAAAATAATACTTTTATATGCATCATTTTGGGGTTTTTAAAAAACAAACAATCTTTTCTTTGTGTTATGGAATAAAAAGTTATAAGGACTGTATATAATATATAATATATATATATAAGTATATTATCAAGCATCATTACAATTTCAACAAAAAACATTCATGGGCCAATTTAATAAACATTAAATAATAACTTGTGATCAATAATCTATTGATACTATTTAATCTATTCCATCTATCATACTGCAGTTCTACCTTTTATTATGAGATTAAAATACACTGAAAAACGTAACAAATTAGTTACATGCATTATACATCCATTCTCAAATGTGTATCCATGTTCACACAAATAAGTGCTACGATAGATTTGAATTATTTGTAACTAAATATCATTCTGTCTGATTATATCAACAATATGGTAACATTAAAAGCAAGGTGGACCTGTATTTGTAAGAAAACGTAGAACTTTTTGGCATAATACAAAAATACACTACCAGTTCTAATTAAATTGCTGGGATATTAAAGGGGCAGTATGCAACATTTTCATTATTATTATTTCTAATATATGTGCTATTTATTTCAATGTGTACACCCCAAATCAAACTAAATTTATTTTAAATGGTTAATTAGTGAACGGATCGTACTAATAGTTAAGTGAGTTTAAACTCGTTTCGATATTGTTAGTTGAAACATTTTAGAATACGTAGGAGACATATTTCTCTGCAATTAGGCCTTAATTTCGCAAAAAAGTAGTTTAATAACACCTACCAAAAAGCATAACGAACTTGGAATTTTAACGTAAACTTCAAACCATTCAGATAGTTTTGGCGTTAAAAAATTAACGGCAGGTTCTATTATGTTAAAAATTACATTTTTCATTAACTTTCTCTACTGACGATTATCAAAGATGCTACAGAATCGAGGTGAAATTCATCATATTAGGGAAATGAGTAACATTAAACAATAGCATATATCACGTAATGAAATGTTCACAGAATCAAGCTATTTATTAGTAACCCCAATAGGCTGTAGAATAATGACAAGCAACTCAATTGTCTGATTCAGAGTAATTCTAGATATAAAGGTCAGAAAAGTTGAAATACATCAAAATTAATGATAGCATAGCTTTCTGACAACAAATCATATGAACAGCTTACTTATACAGCTGAAAACATAATGTTGTATAAAATCGGTATCAAATTGAATTCAAATTCAAATTCATAATTTCCAAATATCAAAAGTCTTCTTAGTTTATTAGCAATACACTTCAAACGAAGAGAACATACTTTTAACTGTCAACAAACTTGAAAATATCCTTCTAGTTTTCCTACACATATTATCTAAATATTACCCAATTGGAAATAATGTACATCATCTTCCTGGTTCTTCTTCGATCTCTGACTTCAGAACTGGCACATAACTGGTTCAATTAAATCAGGATTAAACCATGCTTGAGATTATGTATTTTTAAGATTTCATAATTGATTTGTAAAACTAAGTATTTAAAACAACAAGATGGTCCTGTACAGGTGAGATTTCCGGGCCTCTAATATTTGAAATTTCTAACTTCGTGAAAGCGTTTTAGGTCATATACACTAGATTGGGGAGTGAGAAAATACAGATGTAGTTTTAGAAAATCAAACCAAATCCTTCGCTGAAAAGCATTATTGTCAACATCAGATTCCGATTTTACTAGTAATTAAACTTGTAGGATATTTTCAAATTTCCGTCGCGATATATAAGGTAGGCCTATGATATGTATTTTGTTCATAATTTTACAAAAGTAAGTAAATATTGTTCTTATAAATTATGTTAAAATTTCTAGATTATTGTTAGAACTCAAGATAGTCCTGGTGACGAATAATTGGTTGAATTTTTATTCTAAATCAATCCCAATCAACCATTTCTTTTTTAAATGAGCTCGCTAAGTGATATGTACTAAATGTATAATATTTTCCAATAAGATAAACTAATCCAGAATAAATAGAATATTTTTAAAATATAGGTCATGGTAAATAATTAAAATAAATAGAGATAGGCCTATGTCTGTTATTCTGTATTCCACATTACTCATTAATAAAAATTTGAATATGTTCAGTGATCCATTCCGTAAACACAACTATGAACATATGTGTTTATTAAAAATGGATAAATTTTATGACTAAACAAGAACTAAATAACATAGACTATACAGAATTGAAAAACTAACTTCGTCGTCACATATTATATACCGGGGTTTAAATATGTGTTATTTAGAAGCAAAGTAGTAATAGTATTTGCACTGGCTATACAACTGAGAAAAATAAATCGTTTTAATTCGTACAGAATTATCATCAGATTTGTTTTACATCCAGTTATTATCAAGTGGAAATGTAAAAGTTGACAGCTACGTTTTATGTGTCTCTAAGCATCATGTCCTTCACTCTAGATCATTTACACCCGTTTCGCAACATTTAGTTCATCCTTTATAGTCATTATTCTTAAAGGGGCAGTATGCAAAAAGTAAATCATATCTGAAAATATTTCGTAAGTCATCTTCAAACAAACTGAATTAAAAACGGGGAGTAGTAATTGTTAATTTATCATTTTGACCTAGTTTTGGTGATTGGCTGGATAATTACTCGATATTATGAATTGAAACCTTCAGAATAAGAATAAGTAGTAGGCACATTTCTCTACAATAAGGCGTTTGTCTTGCTTAAATCATCACAGTAGTTTTCTTGCACCTTCCAAATATCAAAACGAACTTACGTAAACCTTTTAAATCGTTTTAAAAAATAACGGCTGGATATTTATAGTTAATACTTTCAGATACGTTCAGGGGCACATTTCTCTAGATTTTGGTGTATAGATTTCACAAATTTCAGCAAAAAATTTTTCGACAACCAAAAAAACGGAATGCCGCTTTTAATGCATTGTTAGTTTATAAAATAGCAATAAAACTATAGTAATAATTACATTTTACATTATTTAAGTCTTTTCACAGTTTTATACATGCAGCGATATATTTGTTAAGTGAAGATTGTTATGGGAATAAACATTCATCTGTTGTTTTCTATAGAACTGCGAGGATGGGTTGGTATTAATATTTCATAACGAAAAGCCCTGTCTCCCAATAGATTATTGTCACAATGCATACTAAAAGGAAACCATCAATGATAAAAGAATAGACTCAACAGTTGATACATGGTCTAGATAATTTTAAGTATTTAGGAAACATCTTGTTTGACATTTTATTGTCCCCACAAGAATTTCGTTGGGGGTATGTAAGCCTACAGTGTCGTCTCTGTAGACAATTTAACAATATGATAAAAGAGCATTTACATGAATTATGTAATATTAATGAAAAGGTTTAATATGCTCTGAATATTTGAAATGACTGGAATCTGTGTGTAATGTAAAATTTTACCTACATCTCATCTATTGGGAAAAATATATTAATGCATTTATTCTCTCAAACCAGCTGTTAGTCGCCAAATAATTATTTACAATTGATGAATTTCATGAATATATTCGTATAGGAAATTGACAATGATATAATAATAATAAATCTTTATTATCACAAAGGGGCAATTCATTTTTATAACAAGGGAGATTTCGGATACAAAAAAAATAAATAGGAACCACAAACAAATGAAACACAAACATAAATACAAACAGTACAAAGAACATAGTGACACGGCTATTGTTTATTGGAAAAAAT